CAGAGTATGGACTGGAAACCCCAAGGGCAAAATGGGGAACACCTCCGAAGGTGGTGGAGAATGACCAAGTGAAGATCCTGTGGGACTTCCAGATACAGACTGACGAGATGGTAATGGCGAACCAACCGGATATGGTGATCATAGATAAAGGGCAGAGGAAAGCCGTTGTAGTGGATGTAGCGGTCCCAAGCGATGGAAACATCAGAAAGAAGGAACACGAGAAACTCGAGAAATACCAAGGGCTCAGAGAGGAGCTGGAGAGAGCCTGGAAGGTAAAGGTGACAGTCGTGCCTGTGGCGGTCGGAGCACTCGGGGCAGTGACCCCCAAACTAGATGAGTGGTTGCAACAGATCCCAGGAACAACATCGGACATCTCAGTCCAGAAATGTGCAGTGCTGGGAACAGCAAGGATACTGCGCAGAACCCTCAAGCTTCCTGGCCTCTGGTAGAGGACCCGAGCTGAATGGGGGGCGGACACCATCCTTATGTGGGAAATATATATGTAGTCAACTTTTCTTTGAAATAACATGTTTCCTTCTTGTTGTCTCTCGTGGGTCTGCCCGAGGACTGCTGGGATAGGCTTCAGCACCCCCCCCCCCTCAAGCACACACACACACACACACTTGTGTGGATAAAGCGGAAGAGAAAATGAAGGGATGGATTGATAGACATATCGATATATGTATGTAGATACTGTATATCAGAGGCGATTACTCTAAGACTGCAAGGGAAGCTGAGCTAGCTCTCTTTGTTGAAAACGACTTGCGACAAATTAATCTTTTCTTTTTTGGTGGGGTTTATTGTAGTTCACTATCAGAGATCATTTTCTTGAAAACGAACGGAGAGCAGAACTCCCGTACCGTATAAATTAACGGACACATTTTATTACGTAGCCCGAAATTGAGCTTCCCCTCCTTGACAGACCAGCATCCCCCACTGATATATATCTATATATATATCTATATAGATATATATATATAGATGTATATATATATACACACACACACACACACACACACACACACAATACAATCTGATTTATATCGTGCTTTCACAACAGCCGCAACTGTAACACAAAGCGCTTAATAAAACAGTTAAAGTAAAATAATGAACACAGCACATTGCAAAACACGGACAGTCATGCAATCGTGACCACTTCTCCCTCGTACGCTTTGTTGTTTAAAGCCTTTTGAGGTGAAAGAGGAGAGAAGCAAAGTGACTGACCGGGTTTGTCGACCTTCCGAATGTCGTCAGACAAAAAATCTCCGTTCAAGTCCCTTTCTTCGAGCCATGACCACTTGAACGTGTTCCTCACACTCGCCTCTATCGCGCGTAAGTCTGCTTGTCTGTCTACCTGCTTGAACATTACGCACAAATAACTTTACATGTAGTGCTCAAATACTCAATATTCAATGATTTATCTGGACTTTGAGGCTTCCGCTGTCGCTGAAATTTCGAAAATCCAAGGTAGGGGAGTGGTGTTGCCGTTGCTTGCGTTTGCTGTTGTCGTAGCTTCTTTGAAATCTCATGTCGGTTGCGTCGGCGCTGATTGGTTGAAACCAAAACGACGCTCATGCGTACATGTTTGCGCTGACGCACGTACAGCAGAAGACCAACCGAGTGCTGTGGCGCGCTTCGCTCGAATGGTATCGCTACAAGCAAAACAACGAACTCAAACGTGCGTTCATTCAATGTTGTCAACTAATACCCTGATTAATTTTAGGCAATTTTCCAGAGGATAATTGCCTAAAATTAATTTCCCGGAGGAAAATTGAGGACAATTTGAAAAATCCGGAATTTCTGGAAAATCCGGGGGACTTTCATCTCTGGCATCACAAACATTGTTATTGGGGCATGGGACATCCATCCATCCATTTTCTGATCAGCTTAGCCTCACAAGGGCCTTCTTTGGGTTGTTTGGTTTTTTTGAACATGTAAGTAGATAACGGAAATTTGACAGCAAGTCAAGTGAAGGTAAAAAAAATAAGAAAAAAATTAACAAATAGTCATCATTCAACACAATTTACACGTTCAAAGTAAGAAGTAAAAAAGAAAACTAATCGAGTCCCATCCCTTGTTTTTTGTGAGTTTTAACTTGATTTACATGAAAATTGTCATAGATTGTTCATTTGGCATTTCGCAATCTGAAAGGAAAAAGTGAACACACACTGGCACATTTTTATATCAATCTACTCTCATACTCATAATCAATATTGCCTTTTTTATTTTAACGTAACTTTTAAACCTGTTTTTGAACACAGCAAGCGATTCACACGTTGATCTCTGCTGAGCGACATGTTGGTGAGAAAGGCTTCTCTTTGTTCAAGGTGAGGAAGCTAAGATCAGACTGAACTCGGCCAAGAAGGCCCGATGAATACCCAGACAACTGTAACTGCACACTAAGCTTTAACACAAAGTGTTTTCATCTGGAAACGTAGCACTGGATGTCCTGTATTTGTGCTTTTAATACAAAGTCAGGGGAATGCAGTGCTGCGGGTGGTTGGGAAAATCAAGTACGACTTGGAGACCTATGCTCTAAATCAGTGTTTTTCAAACTTTTTTGAGCCAAGGCACACTTCTTTCATTGAAAAAATCTCGCGGCACACCACTAGCTAAAAATGTGAAGGAAAAAAAAACAAACAAACAAAAAAAAGCTTATTTTAACAATGAACACGTTATATTGTGACTATAACCATTTTTAACATTGAAGAATGACGTTATAACAGCTTGAATTGGAATCAAATGAACACAAAGAAAAAAGTATTTTATAATCTTTCATATTTATTGTTTCACTGTCATCCTGCATTCATGCGTCACAAATTCGCTTGTCTGTAGGCGAAACACAAGGAAATTGGCTAGCTGTTGCTGCTCCCTAGCGGTATGAGAGGGTACTACACGATTACTTTTTGGGCGATAGTCCGCACAGGAATACAAATTGGATATTTTCCCGCGGCACACACTGCTCTCAATCAGGGGTCGGGAACCTATGGCTCTTTTGGTGATTGCACTAAAACAAAATATTCTCAATTTTTTTAATCCAACCATTGATTTTTCACTGCTTATGTCCTGTTCAGGGCTGCACTTGGCAGCAGGAGCAATTTTAATTGGATGATACTGGCCGACTTCGGCCGCTGCTGGGTAAACAGGAAAACGCCCCCTTTTGAATCACTCTGCTTGGTCATTTGCTCAAAGCTAACCTTTCCACAAAGCAGTTGATGAGAAGAAAAAAAAAGACGAGTATAGTCCACTTCAAGACGAATGGACTGAAGGATTCGCTGTCGTGGAGACAACAGGTTCTGCGGTGTGTCTAATTTGCAATGACAAAATGCCGTTGATGAAACGATCGAATGTAAAGCGGCACTTTAACACGCGCCGTGCTACGTTCGCATCAAAACACCCTGAGGTAAACAACAGGATGCGTGCAAGTTACTGAACAGTGTGCAAGCTAGCCAGCAGCAACTCGCGTTTGGACCCGGCAAGCTGATTATAATTCCGCTAGCTTTGCGAGCAATCGTGAGGAAAACCATTCATATTAATGGTGAATATGACAACAAAATTATTTAAAAGAATACATTCCGAGGTGTATTATACTGACATTTTGTTTAATTCACTTTTAAAATACAGTTTTTTAATATGGCTCTCACTGAAATACATTTCCAAATATTTTGCTTTCATGGCTCTCAGTCAGAAAGGTTCCTGACCCCTGCTCTAAATTGTCCTGAGGTGTGACTGTGAGCGTGAATGGTTGTTCATCTATGTGTGCCCTGCGATTGGCTGGCAACCCCGCCTACTGCCCGAAGACAGCTGGGAATGGCTCCAGCATGCACCGCGACCCTTGTGAGGATGAAGCGGATCGGAAAATGGATGGATTTGACAATAAACTTGGACTTGAACTTGATATGTACACACACACACACACACACACACACACACACACACACACACACACAGCGTACAAGAAAGACACCATATGAAGGCTGTTAAGAAAGAGTACGAAAGAAGCGAGACGAACAGTGTGATCCAACCTAATCTGTGAAGAACAATTCTTGGCTGCATCCTGCCAATGACGTCCAGCAGTCGACTTTGTCCCTTGTGGTCCTCTTTTTCTCCACAAAGTTCCTCCTCGTATTCTGATGTCCTTCTTGCGCACATAGTTCACACGAAAATTACAACAACACTTTACGCTTACGATCTCTGCGCAGCGATGTGTTGAGCACGAGCGCCTCTTTGTTAGCGGCTAGGAAGCTAACCGAAGCTAAACTAGGCCGAGAAACACCAACGTACACCGAGACGACTTTAATCGGACAAGAAGCTTCGACGAAAGATGTTTTGGTCCAGCGAGATGATTGTGGGTGACCCGGGTGCAGGTTTGAGCACGCTGACGACGAATTCAGGAGAATTTGGTCAAGGGTGTCTATCCCTCATCGTGCCCCAGTACCGTACTGCTGTCAAGCCCGCGATTGTTAAAACTGTACACTGCATGACGGAAATCTGCCAACAGCGAGCGCCTTTGAAACCTTCAAAATAAAAGCTTTCCAAACCGCCCGCGGTTTGGATTTAAAATAATTTCTTGGCGGTCAGGCAACGACGAGCTCCCCCATAGAGAATTAAAACCACCAAGAAGAGTTCTGAAGTTGCGACAGAAAATAAATATAATGCTAACTCTCCATCAATTACTAAAACTTCACCTCATTAAAAAAATTGATAAATAAAATGCATTTTTGTTGAATGAATTTTTGTTTTCCCGCAACCAGATCAGGTCTAGGGCAGGGGTAGGGAACTCCGGTTCCTCGAGAGCCACATCCTGCCTGTTTTTGGTCCCTCCACACTCCAATTCACCCGATTCAATTGTGTGTGCCCTGAGATTGGCTGTCACCAAGTTCAGGGTGTACCCCGCCTACTGCCCGAAGATGGCTGGGATAGGCAGATCGGAAAATGGAAGGATGGATGTAGCGAGCCTCAAGTCGTTATTTTGTGCGTGTTGAGTTAATTCGCTGCTCTTAACTAGTCGAATGAATGTTTGACTCGTGGAAATGTCTCATGTTTACACTGTATCATCTTTCAATCGAAAGAATGCCATTTGCTCACGTAGATGACATTCACCCCCATTTTGCTGACAGCATACAGGGAATAAACTGCTGTCACCACAACCTTGGTCAGCTCCTGTGATTTTATTTCTGTGAAGATCTCACTGATGATGTCACACATACGTTAGCCCGTTGTATTTGTAAATTAGTGATCACATATTGTGAGCAAAAAACAAGGAAATTGTTGATTTTTTGTTTATTTTGGAGGTGGAGCATTTGTGACCCAAGTTTATCTTGTCGCCCAAGTTGAAATGCTGCTAACATTTGTTCTTACTGTATGAGTAGTTGGAGTGGTCGAGGTATGATTATTATTTAAACCAGAATTCAACAGCAATTTTTGATTTTCATTCATTTTTCTTGCTTTTGTTTGTTTTGTTTCATTCTTTTTTATTTCTGTAAGAGAGGGTATCAACAATTTTCTACACCTGTCGCTCGTTTGTGGAATTTAAGATAGAAATGGAGCATGACAGGTTACGATATCGTCTTCAGGCGTCACGTTGTCGCCCTCTCCTGGTTAGTGGGAGAAATGCTGTCTGACAACTTCCGGGAATCGAAAAAGAAACCCCTATTTACATATGTGTCTTGTGCCAAATTCGTTTTTTGTGAAAAAAAAAAGGAATACCAACCTGTTTTTAGACTTTTCCTTCTACGTTACACACAACAATATAGAATAGCAAGCTGTATTTCAATGTTGGTGTTTCGGTATTAAAAGAAAGGCTAAATAACGACTTGTTTTCTATTAAAAAAACAAACAAAAAAAAAACATAGTTTTCTTAGTGTTCCAGAAACGAAATCAAACCCCGTAAAATGTCACAAGATAAGATGAAAAAGCCCACGTGAGGTGAATTTTTCGACAAGAGAGCAAGGCCGGTTTTGAAAACCGTACACTCGGTTTTCAAATCCTTGACTACCTCCTCGGTTAGCCGTGACCAGATACTCGCTCGTTCTCTTACAATATTTGAGGCAAAGGAGGAGTGCATTGCTGACTGCAAAAGGACAGAATTTTCATAAAGTTTCACACTTGGACTTGCTTTTTTTAAGAAAAAAAATATATACTGTACTTGATTTCGGCGTTCATTTATCTTGACAACAACTGGTATATTCGAAATTTTATTACTTCCACCGTGTTTGTTTTTGGTTTCGAGTGCAGATTGTCTTCACACGGTGGTCTCGATATGTTATTGCTGATTTTTAGAAGCTCGTGGAAAATATGTGATTCTTTCAGAAGGTTGCAATGACCAACTAAAACGAGCAGAGGGCAGCATATTGTCTTTTGCCGTGCTAGGCCAAAGGAGGCGCTCGCATTTCAGAACCAAGAAGAGGCATCCACCAGGTGGAAACAGAGCTGAAGAGCGAACATTGTGAATACTGTACATTGTAACGTGTTTGTGTTCCAATCAAAAAATAAATAAGTCAAAAGTTACAAGATTAAGAAGTACAAAACGCTTTGTTAGACCGATTTTGAGGCGTGTTGATACAAAATAATAATAATAATAATAATAATAATAATAATAATAACAATAATAATGCAAAGTGTGATGGAAACGTGGCATTCATTTATCTTCAAAATTGGTGTAGTTGGATTTTATTTATTTTTTTTTTTTGCTTTCACCTGTATTTGGTTTTAGTTTCGAGTGCAGGTCATGTTCACAGAGTGGATATTTATGTTCTTGCTTATTTTTTGAGGGCAAGAAGAAATCATATTGTATTCTTGCAGAAGGTTGCAATGACCAATTCTGACCAGCAGAAAGCAGCGTCCAGCGCTTAGCGTGCACGGCCAAAAGGGGCTCAGTGATAATTTTACAGTTTACCCCCAGCGAGTCCAAGGGACTCGCTGATCAGAAAACTATGAATCCCATGATGCATTTGGAGAGTCCCAAATTTCGAATTCTGAAATGGTCTACTTATTCAATTGCATATGATAATAACACAAACAACAACATATACATACAATTATAAACAAATGCTGCAAAAATTTTAATAATTCAGTAGCAGGCCTGAGGATTTCGGAAATTCACGGTAACCGTTTATATTAGTTCTGTTGGATTACCCAATGGGAAACCACGGTAACTAATTCTGGGTTCCGTAAACATTCATAATGGGAACCCATTTTTCTATTTTGACAGATATTCATAATCAGAATTCTGAAACTCAAAAGTATAATGTTTCAAGGGTAAATGTTTGAAAACTATCCATGAACAATGAACATTACATCAGCAGCTGTGTACTCCAGGTTTATTCAAAAAAATAAATGGATCAAAATATGGTGTAGACCAGGGGTGCCCATTACGTCGATCCTGATCTACCGGTGGTAGATCTAGGACTGTCCCAATTAGATCCAAAAGGTGAAGAGGAGAAAAAAAAAACATTTGTGTGTCTTTGTACATGTTAGTAATATATTTTTTGTGTTAATGCACACTGCACCCTAATCATCCTATCAGTCTCATTTTCCCAAAGAAAGATTTTAAAAATTAAATAAAATAAAGCAGGTAAATCTTTCACCTACGGTGGCACGTGACTCCGTCAGCGGAAGTTGTTAGCGCTCAGCAGTCTGCAATTGCAGCTTGTGATCAGAGCTGTTGCGCTATATCTTTGATCGTCATTATTCTCATTCAAAGTTTGCTTCGTGTACAATTCACCGAGGGCACGGGCAAAGAATAGGAATATAGAGGGCTGAGGGAAGCACTTTAAAACGGTACGTGTGAGCTACGATAGTCAACAACCTGCAAAAGTGCATCGCTTGCTTCCGTGTTTGGCTTCTCATCATGGCGCGCGTGCGCGTGTGTGTGTTTGTCTGTGTGAGTGTGCGCGTGCGTGCGTGCGTGCGTGCGTGCGTGTGTGCGTGTGTGCGTGTGTGCGTGTGTGTGTGTGTGTACGTGCGCGCGTGCGTGCGTGGTAAGGGGTGATCCCGGAAGGTTGGTTAAACCAAAAGTAGATTCCAAGTAGTAGTCCAAAAAGTTTGGGCACCCCTGGTGTAGACATATGGCATCATGAATACAGCAAATCACAAAATCAGAGTGTTTTTTTCCAATCTCACACTGCAAAGATTAATTTACTGATAAGTAAATTCCCAAGACGATGCATGTGTAATCTACTATCAATTTGACGAAAGAATCTACGA